CACACACACACACACACACACACACACACACACACACACACACACACGGTCTCACCGGCCTGAAACTTGACCAGCATCCAGCTCAGCTGGTCCTCACCTGCCACCTGCTGCTGGGGCCACGGGCACTCGAGGCCGCCGCCAGCCCCCACTGTCTCCGTTCTGCACACAGAACTGGCAAGCTCGACGAACTTGGTGGCCATCCTGCCAGGAGTGCTCGTGTTGGTGCTAGTACCGACCTTACTGCTGCGAGTGTATGTTTACATGGCGCTGAGAAGGACGGCCAGGAGGTGGAGGTGGAGGAGGAGAGGGTGAGCGGGGCGAGGGCGGCCGGAGGAGAGGGGGAGCGGGGCGAGGGCGGCCGGCGGGTGGGGCCTGATGCTCGCCACTGTGCACTCTTCCCCCCTCTAGGGAGAAGCTGTGGAGGTGGATTGGCCTGAGGCTGGAGCGCACGGGTGAGTGCCAGCCCCAAGGGGGGAGTGGGGGCTGTGGGGCACAGCCCCTGGCAGGGCGAGTCCTCTAGCGAGCCCTCTTGCTCTCTCCCAGACGTTCCTGAGCCCACCCTCAAAGCCCTGGACTGCTGAGCAAACACATAAACATAGTTTATTTTTTAAATGCTTCTGATCTTACAATTGTGTGTGTGCGTGTGTGTGTGACTGTGAGTGTGTGTGTACCCATGCAGGGGCGGGGCGGGACCCCCCAGGAGAGAACTCACTGGAAGCCGAAGGCAGGCGGCCCAGCGTGCCTGTGCACCAGCCACGGAAGACACAGGGCAGGGAGGGAAGCTTCCAGAGGAAGACGGGCTGTGGCCCCAGAGCCCTGCACGACAGGAGGACACACACGCACAGGAGGACACACACACACAGGACACACACACACACACACACACACAGGAGGACACACACACAGGACACACACACACAGGAGGACACACACACACAGGAGGACACACACACACACAGGACACACACACAGGAGGACACACACACAGGAGGACACACACACAGGACACACACACACAGGAGGACACAC